GTAAATTATATATTTTAAATTAAAATATTAATAACAAAAAATTACTAAAATAAAGTGTGTGTGTGTGTGTGTGTGTGTACTCCGTGCACAGAGCATAATTTTTTTCCCTATTTAATTTTTTTAAAAATATATAATTTTTTTAACTTCTTTTGTCTTTATGTATGTTTTAAATAAATCTATTCAAATACTGCTTTTCTCTCCATGAAAGGAGAAATTTTCTTTATTTTAAATTTTTTCAACTTACATTTTTTCTATTTGTAAAAGAATTTTGATTTTTTTAATTATTTTCCCTTTATTTATAATTGAAATTAATACTTTCAATCACTGTTTTTCTCTCCGTGAAAAGAGATTTTTTTTAAAAAAATATTTTCAAATTTTAAATTTTTTTTTATCTTTTTTTGTTTGTGAATTGGTAGATTAAAATTATTTCAATTTAAATTTTTTCTATTTATTATACAATCCCCTCCCCCCCTTTTTTGTAGATTGGTGGAAATTATTGCTTTTGCTTGCACAATATTAGACTGTTCATTTTTGTGCCGTACATTTTCACATTGAACTGGTTTGAAATGGATTTGGTCAAAATGGTTTGTATTGCACTACTTTTCTTGTCACTTTTCTTTCTTCTAAAAGGGGCAATCCCTGCATTACTATTCATTATTGTAGCACTCGATTTTACGCATTGTTCCAAAACTGGTTTTCTTAATATTCAACCCTTTTATCTCACACTTTCATCCACTTGATTTTAGCAGCTATTCACAAATTTCTCCCTTATAAAGTTACTTTTTGCTCTCTCTCTCTCTCTCTCTCTCTCTCTCATTTCACACGTCTTTTGGATTAGCTCCTCCCACCACAATCAAACTAAACTGAGGAAGAAAAAACGTAAAATCCAAAACACACACGCTTGCCTCATATTGAACTTCCTTTTCATTCCATTTTTAGAACCTATTTAATCTGATAACTGTCAATTGGATAGTGTTCTATGTTGAGTAACACATTTCCTTTCGAAATAGAAATTTCAATTTTTCCAATCTTCCAATTTTTTCAATATTTTCTTCGATAAAATGTTTATTTTGTGGTTCTCCTTCTTGTAGGTTCTTTTATATTCATTTTCTTCTCTACGATGCTCCCAGGTGAAAATATTTTGTTATTTTTTATTTTTAGTAATAGCAATCATGGTAATTTTGAATGATTTCTTGAATTTTGTGAATTTGTTGCTTTTTTTATTGTTATTCTACGTTAAATAACACATATCCCTTCAAAATAGAAATTTCAATTTTTTTAATGTTTTCTTCAATAAAACATGTTTGTTTGACCGTTCTTCTTCTTATAGGTTCTTTTATCTTTCTTCTCTTCTCTATGACACTCCCAGCTAAAAACTTTTTTATTTTTTATTTTGTTGTAATAGTAATCGTGTTAATTTTAAATGATTTCTTAAATTTTGTGAGTTTGTTGCCTTTTTTTGTTAGTGATGATGTGTCACTTGAGGGACTAGAGCAAGAGTTTGAAGATTGAAAATTTGATGTTGTAAGTAGAGTCATCGTTTTTGTGGATCATAATATAATATATCATATCAATCATACACTACCTTAAAAGAGAGAACGGGGCAGTTACTGCTCTTTTGCTTTTAAAATTAATTTTATTTTAGTTATAATTTGTAATAAATATTGAATTATTTGTTTACAGCAAGTTGTGATGACTACGGTTTTGAAAGTGCAGTTAAACTGCAAGGGATGTATACGAAAAATTTACAAATTTGTGACCAAACCAAAGGGTGAGTAGCCACCGTGTTATGTTTATTGAAATTGAAGTGTTTAATTAAGACATTGGCAACGTTATTGGGAATTAGAATGTGTAAATAGACAGATATAAGGATTTAATAAGAATGACTGAAGTAATGAACATGAAAATTCTAGCCGATTCTCTGAATAAATAGAGGATTTGATATTTTGTTCATCCAGACAATTAGCCTTTGCAATCAAATTTGGGTTAAATTGACTGCTTTCATAAAAATAATAAAATAATACTTTTAAGATATGTATTCGTTTGCAAATTCTTGATTCTTTTTCACGGTGTATAGTTTTGTTGGCATTAGGTACATGTTTGATTTACTTCCAATCTCAAATTTTGTGACTTTCTGCGAAACTGCATTTCTTGAACCTTGTAGGAAAATGAGGTTATCAGTATCCGTGTCTATTATTTTCTTAGGCAATATTGAAGATGTTTACATACATGTATCGTTGGAGGTTTGACTTCCTTTTCTTCCTTGTGCCTTTCAATTATCTCAAAGGTAAAAGAACAAATATAAATGAGCCAAATCACTATCCGCTGATGCCACATTTTCCTTCGAATAAACTTTGTTTAACATTATGCATCTCTGAATTATCCTCAATTCCAAGTTCAATATCAATTTAAACCAGGATTATGTGTTAATTCTAAATACTTTTGAATTGAAGAAAAATTAAACTTTCCACGAGTAGAAACAAAAAGTGTTTGCAAATAATGCCTTTTTGATTGATATTATATTTGATGCACCCACTACTCCATTTATGGTGCATGCTTTTGACTTAATTTAAGGTTTTGCTTGAAAATGGAGTTATTGTCTTGAGATTGAACGTGTGTTTATTTTAAATAGTTTGTCATCTACAATGTTTTCACGTGTAGATGTTATTATTTCTAACGAAGTGCATTACTTGTGTGAAATATCTATATGTATGGTGTCAGGTGAATTTTTTTTTTTTCCAATTTTATAATTTTCGACCCGATTTATTTGCTTCATTCAGTTGGTTATTTTTATCATTATGCAGGTTATTTAAGAGTAAAAAAATATTATAATTGTAAAAGTTACTTATAAGTGAAAAATATTAACTTCAAATTTTAAATATATTTTTAAAATGTAAAAAGTTACTTATGAGTAAAAAAATTTGTTTCAAGTTATTTAAAAGTAAAAAAAAATGAAATTTGCAAAAAAAAATTGCGTCGTGCGCGCGTGAGTGTGTATGTGTGTGATAAGCACCTGTTTATACAAATGAAATGCATGTGTTTATACACTAATTAATTCTGTTCAATGCATTCTCAGCTTTCCCTTAAAGTATGTGACCTATGAAAAACAATAAAAAAATATAGATGACAATGCATTCATGTTAATGATTTAAGACAATCTATTACATACATTGTCACTTACCATTATGGCATTGCAAAAAAGTCAAGCTTTTCTTTTAATATAGTTTTTCTTACTTCTGTAGACTAATTCACTTGCACTCCTGGAAGACGGTGCTGTTGCAGCAGTATTGCTTGGCTTTACACCCCCTTCTACACTTTTATCTCTCAGTTCGTCCAAGGTAACAAGAAAAAATAAGAAATAGTGGTTTATAAATTCAATGATGTTATCTTTCTGATTATGTTGTTTCACATATTCTAAGTTGTTTTTTTTGACAGTTGAATGAGGTACCTATGCCTAATCCATTTCATAGGCCTCAATCTGGTTTCATGATTGATGTTACAAGGGTTGAAGGTATGTTATTTAAAATAAACTGCCTAAAAGTAGGAGCTTATAGTTTCTATGCATGATAAAGTTTTGAATGACTATTTTTTATTTGTAAATTCTCAACTTATGGTTGGCTCTGCGAATCTGCACTTAACACTGGTCTTATGGTCATGGTCATGGTCATGGTCATGGACAGTGATGATAGAGTGTGCATTCAACTGTCAGGTAACTAACCTTTGTCATTGATTCATGAGTTCCCAGTCATGATCAATTGTTACATTCTTTTGTGTGTGCCGATGAACATTAAGTGTCTTTGGACTCTTTAAATGAAAGATCAAGTATGCTTAATACTTGTAGGGTACTAAATGATTTTGTTAGTCATCTCTCCCTCCCCCTCTATCTTTCTCTATGTCGGCACGCATATATGTTTACTAAAGCCAATTGATCCATTTTAGGATCGTATACTTAATTGAAAATTTCAAAACTTTATTTATACAAAATGTGCACATTCAAGACTACTAATATCATTGTTAAACTTTTGGAAAATAATGACACGTTGTTCAGGTCCCTTTATATACTTAAATTTTGTTTGCTAATTGTTTTTTGTCTTTTTTAAAGTGTATTTTATTTCCTGATGCTTTCTAGATGCATCGTGACTATAGTTTTTATTAGTTACATTATATGTAAATTTACCTTATCAAATCAATCTAATGCACATGTCTCTCATCAATTCTTAATGCTAGACACACTAATATTACTTTAAAAAATAATACATCCCGTGCATTGCACGGGCATGTGACTAGTCTTTAAAAAGAAAAGAAAAGCACATACAAGTAAATGAAGCACGGTGCATTGAGTTATCGATTAAATGAAACATATACTACTCTTAATGAAACATCCATATATTTTTTCTAGTGGACGGTCTCCTTTTTAAGTTGAACAAAATTGCTAACTTAAAAATAAATGCACGTGTGTACATATTATTGTTTTAAAGTTTTTTAACAAGATTCCAATGCCCTTTGTCAATGCATTATGCAAATGTCAAAATGCGCGCGCACACACACATATATATGATTTAATCGAGCGTACTTTTATTAACTTCCCATCTTGTTAAACTTCAATTTTAACCATATCTTTTATTAACTTTTCAACTATGCACTTTATCAAATTCTATCAAAAGCTACAAATAATTATATCAAAAGTTTGTCACACGATCCCTAAATTCATGAAATGCTTAAACATATTTTAAGAATTATAAGATAGAATAATAACTTTGTAATTTTATTTTTTTAGAGAGTATATGAGTAATTTCATAAAACATTTGAAAAAGTAGCAGAGATTGAAATCAGTTGGGCTTGGCCGAAAGAGTATAGATACTGGGTTTTAAAAAATACTGACACTCTGGCCCAAACTTATGTTAGATTGATCTTGATTTGGATTGGCCCAAATCAAAAGCCCAACTAACAATGCTAAAAGCCCAAAACGCGAGAGGTGTAGACAACACCGTAAGAAAGGGAGGACTGACGCGCTTCCCCGGCGAGTCTTTTTCTTTTGTCCTCTTCCTCTTCCTTGATAAATTCTTCTTTTCTACAAATTGCATTCACAGATTCACTAAATCGCTTTCTGGTACATTCTACATGGATATATACGTATCAGCATACATATAAGAATCGTACAACTCGGTCTTCGATAACTCCGGTATTCAACGGGGGGCCTTTTGTTAAACTAACATTTGTAGGAGTTCTATCTTTCGTTCTGTTTAGTGCTGCTTTCTATTTAATAATTTGAATAGTGCTGGACGATGGAGAGTTTATTTGGTAAAATTCGGAATCTCGACGCTTACCCTAAGATCAATGAGGATTTCTACAGCAGAACCCTCTCTGGAGGTCTCATAACTATCGCTTCCTCCATCTTCATGCTCCTTCTCTTCATATCCGAGCTCAGTACGTATCTTCGCGCGTGTATTCGTAAGATTGTTTTGGGAGTGATTGGTATACATGAATACTTACGCATTGAGATTTGCATTATGATTGTTTACGATGCTTCATTTGGATCTGAAATGGGTTTTGTTCTATATTATAATGCTTAAATTTTGAATGTTTATGTGTATTTGAAAATTGATAGATTGTTAATGGAATGTGTGTAATGGAGTCTGTACTGTGCCTTTTTGCTAACAATTGCTATTGTTCTATTCTTCAGATGGAAATGGGTAAACTGTCAGTGTTTGATTTTGTACATGTCGATGTAGCAGACTGCGAATGTAATTTTTTTGTGGAAATCCGTTGGGCTACCCATGTCCATGTTACAGTTCTATTGAAAATTAAAATGACATGAGAGTTGAGACTTGAGAGAAAAAAAGTATTTAGAACTGGGCTTAGTGGGCTTGTTGAGACTTGAGACTCGAGAACAGAAAGAGATGTGGAACTGGGTTAGTTCCGGGTTGTGTAATAAAGACACATTGGTTTGAAGTTGAGTTGTGGGAGCAATATTTGTTGGAATCTAGAATTTGGATCCTTTGAGCAGGTATTTGTGGACGGATTTATCTTTTTGGCTAGATAACAAGTGGGGCGTGAGTACAGTTTAAGTTCATTTCACTTTTAGAAAAAGAAGTCCGGTACTCTGTTTCTTCAAATTAGTTAGTTGAAAAAATAGTTGTGCTTTCTCTCCCTCCATACAGAAGTTGTTGAGATTCTACTAAGGTCTGCAATTATATCTCAACCGGTTTTGTACCTTCTGAACAGCAATCTTGGATCTTCTGATAGCAGATATTGTGATTATAACTTGATGTTTTACATATTGGTTGCTCAAATGTGTAGATGAGATATTTATATTGATGGTGAAAAAAAAATATAAAGAAGCAATGGACAACAATTCATTTTGTTGCAAGAGTACACAATTTAAGGCTATTTCCCTATTTGATTCAATAACTCATGAAAGTACTATGCTTTTCAGTGGATGTTTGTCGGATTATTTGAGCTCTGTCAAACGTGTTTCCAACGACTGACATCTTTTAGTTGAATCAGTTGGTGACTTCATCAATTCATGTTTTTGGCTCATAAGAATTGGTGAACCGGCAGACCCGTTTGCGACCCCTTTGGAAATATTACCTAGAGTTTCTATTGGAGACTTGGCAGTCATTGGAAAATTATTTAAGCTCTCTTTTGCATTTCTGAACTGTTTGAGATGTACCGTTCATTAAAACAGTGTTATAAGATTAGAGTAATATCTCGAGTACAAAAATGGAAACACGCTGATTGGTCATTAAAGTAAATAGTAATTACTATATTCTGATTAGTGTTGCGATGTAACAAAATTGATATCACCTTTAAGATGTATCTTTTCATGAGTTTTATGCAAAATTGATTAAGAGCCCTGGTAGGATAATATTGGCATGTCAAAAAGATGATGAAAAGGACAGAAAATTATTGGCATTGAAGTGTTTTCTGCAAGGAAGATTAATTGTTTAGAGAATAAATAAAACAAGGAAGGAAGATTAGCACTTGTTCTTGGTTGTGACAAATAGTCTTCAAGAACGCAGAATCATGACTTTTGTAATTCTGATGGTACAGTGGTAGGGTTATAAAGAATAGATCATTGGACTTGATGATTGAATGTGTTAGGAACCAGGAGAAGCTTTTCTCAACATGTGGAAAACAGTTTTTAGGGGATGATAATTAAAGAAAGAATATGGTATGAAGAAACTAATCACACCCATAACCCCCAGTGGACTATACTTACATTAGGAATTTCATTTCTTCACTTAGATAGGCTTCAAAAGCATTTAAATTTTTTTGTTGAACTGTGAAAGAAATTAAACTCAAACACTGAAAGAGATTAAGAGAAGGAATCACTCACCGATGCCCTGTACACCCTACAGTACTTTGGGAAAATAAAATGTCATTTAGTCCCAGTTTGATAGCCATTGTTGATAAAAATTGATTTTTTGAATAGTGATTTTTTAGAGAATTTGTGGTTAACAAGTAGGAAAAAGTTTTGGGCTTAAGTGGAAAATATTTTATTGTGTGAATATGTGGTTGAAAATGAGTATGAGAATTAAAGAGTTTTGTTTAAAGGGAGACAAACAGGGGCTTTAATGACTTGGAGGAAATTGTAATTCTTTTTCTAAAAACAAATATGCCCCTCTGGATTATTTTTACTCTTTTAGTTTATTTGAGCATGAAATTCATCTGGAGAGTTTCATCATTTTACATTGAGCTGCGATGCCCTATGTTAATATTGAAATTTTGTTGGTTTCTCTTCTTTCCGTATTCTTTGTCTTCGGTAATTTCACTCAATTTTGCAGGACTATATCTTCATGCTGTAACTGAGACAAAGTTAGTGGTAGACACATCAAGAGGAGAAAGACTCCGCATCAATGTAGAATCCATTTCTTGTAATTACAATTTTTTGACATCACACAGCTGAAAAATATTGTATTCTAAATTTCAGTGCTCTCTCCTTTTCATTACTCTACTGTCTTTATTTACTTTCATTTCAGGAAAGTAAGAGGGCGGAACACTCATTAGCGTAACATTTGCTACCAATTATTAGAACTATATACTCCTCTTTGGTGCACTTATGGCATTGAATTTATAATTATTATTTTTTTAAATAAATCTCATTGATGTCATAATTAAAATATATATCTTGGTCTATATTTATTTTAATTAAAGAAAAACAATTTTTGGGCTGTAAATGAAGTCAAGCCTATCACAGAGAACAAAGCTTGTATCATGTGCTTAAGCTTGTATCTTTTTTCCAGCTAAACTCAGATGCAGCTCAATAGCTGAAGGCATCAGATAGTCTATATCCAAATTCTACTTGGGTTTGCCTTGGTAAAAGCTTGTTCAAATATTAGCTTAAACCAAATGAGTAAAAACTTGAGTATATTTCTTAATTTAACTTGTTATATTAGTCTGAGATTGAGCAATCTAATAGGGAAACTCAAGCCAACTCATCCAGATCATTCGGTCATATTATTCATTTTTAGATTCATCTCGTTTTCTATGGTTTGTTTGCTTCCACTAGATTGATAATGTATACTCTCCATTTTGACATTGCAGTTTGATGTGACTTTTCCAGCACTCGCATGCTCAATACTCAGTCTTGATGCTATGGATATAAGTGGAGAGCAACATCTTGATGTTGTATGTACTTGAGGAGAATATAACTTTCAAGTACTCTGTAGTTAGAGTTCTTTATTCATCTGCTGGACTTTCTGTATTTATGTGAATGTGTACACGTTATGTTTGTGATGAGTATTTTGGTGAAAACACACTTGTGTTTGAGTACACCTCTGTTCTTTTCAAATCCCCTCTAGTTTGCTTTGCTTGACATATAGATCATTTTTCTATAAAATATTGAATGTGATTCAACATGTCATATGATTCTTTCCAAGTGGAAAGTTAATATTGGAGCCATATTGCTTTTGAGTATTTCAAGCTAAGGATTTAGAAAATAATGCTGATGGCCAAAATATATGGATATGGCAAGGAGTCATCGAATTTGATAGACTAGTTCAAAATGGCGATTTTTTTTCCAGAGAGTCACCAACTCTGTTGCTTATGGTTTTCTGGTTGTCAAAGTGACGTTTAATTACATTTACTCCTGCAGAGACATGACATCATTAAGAAAAGGATCGATGCTCATGGTAATGTAATAGAAACAAGGCAGGATGGTATTGGTCATCCCAAGGTAAGTCACTAGATAAACCTTGTAATAAATAGTTACAAATGCAGACTTTTTTTTTTTTTTGATTATTTAGCGGTTACTTTTGCACAAGAGGATTTTTCATCCTGTGCTACTCAATATCTAGTTACTTAGCATCAGGAATGTTAGTGCATGTCAGTAATATGATTTCACAGAACTTTTTTGGCTGCTAACGATGTGCGAGTCATGCAAAAAAGTTGAGCTTTATGTAACAAAATAATTGTCTTCTTATTCTCTTTTGCAGCTATTGTGCAAAGTTGGTTTTTATTAGGTACTTATTTTATTACTGACAGATTTTTTTTCCTGTGTTATTTTGTAACTGGCATAGATCGAAAAGCCTTTACAAAGACATGGAGGAAGGCTTGAACACAATGAAACATATTGTGGCTCATGTTATGGTGCAGAAGCGGTATGCTTCTCTTTGGCATTTACTGGCGAACAGTTCTATTTTTTAGATGGTGTGAAATTTATGGATCATGGTAAACGAGTAAAAGGCTATAAAATTAATAGATAAATTATTTGCATACCTTTAGCAGTTTTCCATGTGAGATTAGCCTTGTTTCCGTTACAGTTTTGGATTTTGTAGTTTTATGTGCCTGCCAATTTGACTGTTTTGCTTACTTCTCCTTCCTTCAGTTTATTTGAAGCATTCTGGTATTTAGGTGTATTTTTCATTTAATGTCGCTATCACTTATATTTCATACCACATTTCCCTTTTTTATCTGTAGTCAGATGATGATTGTTGTAACTCCTGTGAAGAAGTTCGCGAAGCATATAGAAAGAAAGGCTGGGCAATCTCCAACCCAGATCTGATTGACCAGGTATGCTCATGTCTTGAACTTTAGCTTACCTTGTACTAGAGCCCCTAGGTACATTAGTCTCCTATTCAAGTAGCTTTGGTTAAATAACATTGAGGGTAGTATCATTATTGAGCTTTAAAATTTAAAAAATTAAATAAATCTTAAATTGCTTATGTAATAACGTAACATAGATATTAGCTTCTTAATGAAATAGATGTACCTGTGAGTCGAGCTTCTAAATTTTAATAGAAATCGTAAATTTGCTTGTAATTGTAGGATTGAATTCATGTAGTTTCAATTCATATAACCTAAGTATTATTTTTAGTTCAGGGAATTAAAATTCTATTTTAAGAGTTTATTTTAGTTGGCCAATGAATTGACTGGATTGAGTGGTAGAATGCGTTTAAAACTCTGGGTTTAGTCAAAGCGAGGTTTCAAAACTGTGCTTATATTTGATCACTTTGCAACATTCTGGATTAAATCTCCTTTCAATCTTTGCTACCCTTTAAAAACAACATTCTTGGTTTTGGTCAATGGGAGTTTTTCAGTTTTGAGTGTTTTCTCTATAGAGTCGAGTATATTGTGCATGATGAAGCAGTTAATGTATTTGTAGTAGTACTGTAGTTTTCTATTACGGAATTGATTTATTCTACAATGTAAAATGCATTTTTGAAACGAAGTCCTCTGGTTTTTCCTTATCCTTGTTAGTTATGTTCTCTTCTTAGCTCCTTGACAAGTTTCCGTCCTTTTATTCCTTCGATTTTCCATTGCCTATGAATATGTTGAGATATTCTTCATTCCTAGTACAATACTGCATCAGGATAAGACGCCTATCGAAAATTATGGAAAGCAGATTTGATATAAATTTAATTCTCAGGAGCGTTGAACATGTTTATAGTAAATTCTTGGCATTTTTCAGACCTTTACATTCTTTCTGATTTCCTCATTTTCCATGTTAAACCAGTGCAAAAGAGAAGGTTTTCTTCAACAGATCAAAGAGGAGGAAGGTGAAGGTTGTAATATATATGGATTCTTGGACGTCAATAAGGTAGCTGGCAATTTTCATTTTGCACCTGGGAAGAGTTTCCAACAGTCGAACGTGCATGTTCACGATCTGCTAGCATTTCAGATGGACAGTTTTAATGTAAGACTTGACCCGATGCCTTCCTTTCTGGAAAAGCTAAGACTTGACCCGATGCCTTCCTTTCTGGAAAAGCTAAGACTTGACCCGATGCCTTCCTTTCTGGAAAAGCTAAGACTTGACCCGATGCCTTCCTTTCTGGAAAAGCTAAGACTTGACCCGATGCCTTCCTTTCTGGAAAAGCTAAGACTTGACCCGATGCCTTCCTTTCTGGAAAAGCTAAGACTTGACCCGATGCCTTCCTTTCTGGAAAAGCAACTAAGATATTTCTGTGGCACTTTTTATCAACAAGCAAGATCCTTTCATTATTCAGCTCATGATGTTAGTCGTTGATTTAGCATCTGGTTTACCCTATACGTGATTGTGCAACAGATAAGTCACAAGATCAACAGATTAGCATTTGGGGACTACTTTCCTGGTGTAATAAATCCTTTGGATGGGTATTTTGTCTTCTCAGTGTCATTTATCTATTGTACTTAAACAGTCCTCTTCAGATTCTTTGCCAATACATATATGATGGTATTCTTCATTCTGCACTTCAATTTGCAGTGTGCTATGGTTACAACAAACACCAAATGCTATGTATCAGTATTTTCTAAAGGTTAGCAGAAATGATTATACGTCAAATTTTTGTTGCTTCTATTTTCTTTTCATTTTTTCTTTGCAGTTTCATACATGCTTTTCTTATTATCATGGAAAGAAAGGTTCATTATGGCTTTAGGTCACAGCTTCGTATAACTCACTAACATTTCTTCATTATTTTCCCCTTACCCCAAGTGGAATTGTTCATCATTTATTTTTATATACATAGGCGTGTTGAACGGTATAATTGAGAAGATTTTGGCATCTTTTTGTTTCCTAGTGCTTGTTTGGATAAATTATAATGGAATTATAATGAAAAGGAGTAGTGGGTCCCACGAACTGTTTGGATAATAAGTGGGTGGTAGTTGTGAATGTTTGATTGATATTAATGTTTGACTTTGAAGAACTTATAATTTTATCCGAACAAGCACTTAATATTGGTCAGTGTTGTAGAGTCTACCTTACCGAATAAAAAGAAATAATATTTTGCAGTATTCAGAAGGAGAGGGCAAGAACTTTAGACAGCTGACGGGGGATGCAGTTATGTAGCTTCAATACCTTAGCTCTCACCAAGAACAAACATGCATTTTGGGGTAGTTTACTTCTCTGCACTTTTTCCCTTTTAGCCAGTGCTTGTGGATCACCTAGGATGTGGAAACAATGCAAGCATTGACAGAAGATATGGCCTCAAGGAGCTTTTAGGGTTTGTTTTGTACCAAAAAGGTTATAAAATTTGCAGGAATCAATGATAGAAAATTATGTTGAAGGACAGAAATTTGGCTGTTTGGGCACACTATTGTGGTGCTTAGAACAAACACCATTAATTTCTGTGATTTTGGATTGGACATTTAGCTGGGGCTAAGGTTTAAACGTAGAATGGTGCCCATGAATTAGGATCTGAGTTCTCCTAACAACTCCATATGAGATGATCATGGACCATGAATTTAAAGACAAAAAATTGAAATTCCTTTGAAATTGTCAGTCTAACCCAATTGGTTATTTGCAGATATTACTTTATACTTGACTTAAAGATGATGTATGTAAAAATACGCTGCTGGCTACTAGATTGTTAAATCTACCAGATATGACTTAGTGGGAAACTTGTGTTACCAATTCAGATAGATATGGAATAAGGCTTCAAGGAGTTGAGTTTTTAGTGGTATGCTAAAGATCTGGAACTCTTGTATAGATGATGTATGTAAAAATATGCTGCTGGCTACTAGATTGTTAAATCTACCAGATATGACTTAGTGGGAAACTTGTGTTACCAACTCAGATGGATATGGAATAAGGCTTCATGGAGTTGAGTTTTTAGTGGTATGCTGCAGATGTGGAACTCTTGTAAACATCATTATTTTGAAATAAAGCTAACTTTATTTATTTATTTATTATTATTATTATTATTATTATTATTTTATTGCAATTGACCATCTTTATAGATGGAAGAGTCCCAAAATTAAAATAAAGCTTAGTTTGTTGCTTCTTCTGTGTAAGTTATACAGTTAAAATAGAAAAACTGAATTATGTAGTCCTGTGATTTAATTGTTGATCTTTCTTATGAATGTCTGAGTGAATCAGGATAAAGCAGGATAATTTTATATATTTCCCTTCTTGTGTCTTGATCGCAGGTGGTATCTACTGTATTCACTGATGTAAATGGGAATACCATACAATCGAATCAGGTCCGATGTAGACATCCAAGATTATTCTCTCAATCTAATCCTTTTTTCCCCTTTGTACTTGTTTTTTCTCTTGAACTTGACATGAGATCCATGAGCTACTGTCCTATTGCAGTTCTCTGTAACTGAACATGTTAGGGGATCAGAAGTGGGTCACCTTCAATCTCTTCCAGGAGTTTTCTTCTTTTATGACCTGTCACCAATAAAGGTGGGTGTCTTGTTTATGGGTCGGAAAATATTATTTATGGACCAGTTCATTAATCAGGTTTTTGTACATAAGCTCTGGCTTCTACTTACTTTTCTTTGTTTCATTGTTTTTTTGCTTACTATTAGTTATAGGTCACTTAAAATTCATGTACAAGCAGATTTAGCTGGTCTTCTAGGAGCAACAGTGCAGCTCCTAGATATTCAGTCGCAGCATGTGTAAACTTCTGCTTATCTTTTGATATTGCAGGTGACTTTCACAGAGACGCACGTTTCATTCTTGCACTTCCTAACCAATGTTTGCGCCATTGTTGGAGGTAATAGTCACTCGCCCTCCAACTCTCTCTAAAACAACCTAAGTATTGATGTCAAGGATGAAACAGGATTCAAGAATAATGCCCCAAACTCCCAAGTTTTTTTACTAGATATTCACATGTTCATGCCTCGATAGTTGCTTGAGTTGTTGGATGAACTGAGACTTTTTTGCTATAATTCTGTTTACTGCCTCAGGTGTTTTCACTGTTTCGGGGATAATAGACTCGTGTGTTTATCATGGTCAAAAAGCTGTCAGGAAGAAACTGGAGATTGGCAAGTTTAGCTAATTATTGATTCTCCTACAATTTTATCTCTGTCCCAGTTCTTACCCATGAGCAACATCTTTCTGGAAAGGGAACAGAAAATTTGGATCGGAATGTCCTTGTAGGGTAGAGTGGTTTATGGACATATTAATGATTTTATTGCGATGTGTTTGTTAGTGAATCAACTAACCTCTATAGTTCATTTTTTAGCGAAGTCTTTTTGAGGATTTACAAAGATATCTGTACTTGCATACTACTAATGCCAATCCTATGAGGTGATTGTCTCTTTTTTCACATTTCATGGCAGAATTTTTAATTTGTAGACAAGTTACCTTCAAATTTGAATTGGAAAATTTGTCTTTGAATATCTTGCCATGTATGTCTTGTGACTCCTTTCGTTCAATTGTTATCTTTATATATAGAGCAATGTTATTCAGCATTACTGTTGTCAAGCAATAGTTTAGGTGATAACTACATTATATTAAATGATAAATTCACTTAAATGCATTGTCACGTGATTTATATGATTGAACCTATCAAGTTTGATAATCTAAATTGGTATTCTAATACTATTGATGTTAGATAACATTATCCTTGTATGTGTGCCCTTTATATATCTATTCCCTTCTGTGAAAGGAGAAAACTGCAGATTACACAATGGAAACTTGTGGTCGAATTTCGATTTCCCATGTAAAGTGAGTTGTGACGAGATTAGACCAGCTCGATAACATTTAAATTTATTTTTGATATTGTTTCTTGGCCTACGAAATTATTTTCATTTTTCTTTTTGTTTTTTGTTTTTTTGTTTTATGTAGCTTGTCAAGTCTTGAACGGAAGACTAAAAGAATGATAAATTGAAAGTTACGTATTGGAACCGGCCAAGCACTAAACCGACGGAATTAGATTCCATTTCAAAATAATGACATTGGACTATTTCAACTATGTTAATTATTTGTCTATGTGGAATTTCAAGTCCGGAAAATTTACTTTTAGGTGTCCATATTCGCTCGATGAATCAATATTCCGTGAACCGGCTAAGTCCAATTCCCAAAAATAACTATTCACTAACTTAAGAGAGACGTTATTTTCTATGAAAAGACACTCGTAGAGGTTACTTGAATGATTTGTATAGCAACTCAACGTTAGAAATTATCATAAGAATTCACTTAGAAAGAAGCAAAACATCCTCATAGGGATTACTTGAATGATTTGTATGAGAAATTATCTTTTGTTCCTTGCGTTGGAGAGCCAAATCTTTGTTTTATAAATTCTCTAGCCTCCTAGTCTAGGCGTGAGAGTGGGGATTCATTTGAACCGTTACTTAAGGTGAAAGTTTTGACTCTAACCCATACCTTGTATAGTCACAGAGAAAATATTTTTAATAATTTTCTTCGATTTTGGAAAAGGCCAAAAAAAAAAAAAGAAAGAAAGAAAATAAATAAGAAGATTCTAGTGGTATAATTCAAAGATAAATAAGTTGAAGTCAAAAAATGGCACATGGATGTCATACTCAAAGTGAGCTGTTGAAACTAATAAATTAATGCATACGCGTGAAGTTGGCGAAAGAAATCAAGACACGTGTGAGGAGAAAAAAAGATCTTGCGCAATTCGTTCTTTCAACTCGTTCCAATTGATTCATGAGTCGATTCATCATCAAAAATGTAATTTTCAATTATAAAACAAATCAAGTTTTGAAAAAACAAGCCAACTCACACGCCGCTTGCCCCATATGCAAGCGTGTTGGATTGAATTGTATTGTGGATCGAGTCGAGCTTATCGTTGAAGAGAGTATAATTTTCATTCAAAACACACTCGAGCCGTGAGTGGCTTGGGAGCTGGCTCAGCTCATCCCATGAAAGGATGAGATAATAGGACGAGCTAAGCCATATTATGAAACATGAGCCAATTTACTTGTGGCTCGTCTTGTATGCGAGCGCAAGCATGATCACGTGGTGAGTCGAGCCGAACTTCGACAAGTCAATCGACTCAACTTATTTTGACATCAATACTTACGTTGTTCATGCTTAGGCCCCTATTCGAGCCAATTTTTTGGAAAAATAGTTTTTGGAATAGTAATTTTTTGAAAAATGCACCGTTGAAAAATAGGAAAAAATTTTGAATTTACGTGCAAAAAGATTTTACAAAAGATTGTGATAAAAAATAAATTATGGAAAAAAAAATGAGTTGGGTGGAAAAGAAAAGAAGCTCAAATACGAGCTTAACAGTCTTTTAAGGTAAATTAGAAATTTACAATCGTTGGAAAGTGTTTAGAAAAGTATTTATAAATTATAATCCATAGTACTGAGTAAAAAAGTTCGTCCTGCCGAACAGAGATTAATTTTCTTACTGCTGATTAGAAGTATGATTTATTACGAACTATCTGGTTGTTAATCTAATAATTTTGTCTGCAAAAATAAACGTGTGACAAAATCTAGCATTATCGAGTCGACAATAACCAAACTCAAGAAAAATAAATAAATGATTACTAGAATTAATTGAGACAAAGCTTACCATAACAAAACAGGAAAATACATAAAAAAAAATTCAGTCTCTTAAGCCAGCAATGTAAAAAACCAGCCGACCAAACTGACTCGAAACTAATAATAAAGGCTCAGCTCTGCAATTGCCAAAAATTCCATTGCTGGAGCTGAAATCCCTAATACACAACAATTACATAGACATTACCTACGCATAATTGAAAATCCTAATACAAGGAATTATAAAGCAGACCAATCAATTTCATATGATGGATATTTCTCCAATGAATTCATGTCCCACGGCGAATCCTCCTCTGTGAACTCCGGGAATGAAGGATCCAACAAGGGTGATGACCCACCCGACCCGTCACTCTCAGATGCGGGTTCAACAACATTCTTGCTGGAACCTTCCTCCGCCGAAGCAGGGCTGGCCGCCAATTTTTTGGACTTTCCTTTGGACTTCTTGGAGTCGATGCTCTTGCCCTCCGCCAGGGTTTGGCAAATGGCCTGCAATTTGGCATCAACGCTGGCATGGAGTGGCTTGTACTCCCCGAACTCACCGCCGATGTGGGATCCATTATGGCGGAGGTTAGGGAAGTTCAGCCTAGCAAAGTCTCCACGCAGCTTGTACGCCGCTTTGTCGTAGGCCAACGCCGCCTCCTCCGCCGTATCAAAGGTACCTAGCCAAAGCCGTGTTCTGTTCTTCGGCAGACGGATCTCGGCAACCCACTTTCCCCAGTGGCGCTGCCTCACTCCCCTGTAAAGCTTGGTGGGCTTAGGAGGAGAGCCCACTTGTTTCATCTGAACAGGCTTTGGGCCCAGGGAGCTCATCTTGTGGGCCTGTCTGTTAAATGGACCCGAGACCATTTGTTGCTGGTTTTGGAGATTGATCCGGGCTTGGATTTCTTGGATCTGGTCTTGGGTCAGGTGATTTAGCCCAATCGAACAAGGCTCTTGATCCAATCCAATCACAAAGTTCCCACCATCCAAATTCAAATTGGGCTGGAAATTTGACTCTGTTGGGTAATAGAAAGAATTGTAGGGAAAAGAACTTGAGGTAGAAGGAGAAGGAGAAGAAGAAAGGGAGGAAGAAGGAAGAGAATTAGAAGGGAGATTGGAAGAAGGAGAAAGAGAAAGAGAAAGAGGAGTGGAGGAAGCACTTCTCATAAAAGGTAAAAGTGCTTCCATTAATTCACCACCCCTAAAGGGATCTACAACTGAGTTACTACTGCTGCTACTCCAAAAATCCATTGCAGCTGCCATGCTAAACCTGAAAAATATATTCTAAGAAAGAAAATTTACCCGTTTCTTAATAAAATCAAAGAACAGGCGGTGAAAAATTATTAACAAAATAAGTGAATATGAGGATGAAAAGAGGTCTACAAATAAACAACCTCTTAGATCCTGTGATTGGCTAATTAAAAAGCAGCCAAGAAATTAAAAATAAGAAAATAAAATACAGATCTCGATCTGAAAACACCTGGCCTTCTGAAAATCCTGCTCTTAAGTTTGCTTTTTGTTCATGAATATTGAAAAAATCAGTAAAACAAACCAGAAAGAAAACTTGAAAGACAGATTGTTTGCAGAAAGGGATCAAAGAAGCGGGGTTAATCAGAGGGGGGAAGAAGAAAGAAAATTTTGTT